TCTCTTCCGGGTACCTTGGTTTGATACTAACATCATACCTTTCATTTATTCCCCATGTTGAAACCATTTTTTTATTAAACCCCGTAAACGTCAACACAATATCCATCGGTTACGTTCATTTCACAAACCTCCAGCCCTACGCTGGCGATTTATAGATGCCTGCATTGTTTTGAAAGACCTGTTAATTTTAAAACTTATCTTACCGAATGCTTTCTTCAGCTGCCGGCGTTTCTTATGCTTTTTACCTGATATTATAGCATAGCGACACTTTAAAAAATTCCAGCTATTTGCTGATCGCATTCCTGATGGGGTTGCTCATCTATTTCAGTCTGAATTAATGGCTTCGAAGTCTGCCCGTAGCATGCGCCAATACTTCCGTCCTATGTTCTGCCGTGGTCGGCATATCAGCAACCTGTACTATCATCCCTAGTACGCTACCTCACGTGTGAAGAAACTGAAATCCAGAAGTTGACTTTAGACCTGTCACCATAATAGATACGCCCCTCATGTAAACATCTAGAATTTGGAGTATTTTATTGACTTATCCCTTGGGCTCAGTGGATGGAGCCATATCTTGCTGAAAATTTTGATTTTCACCTTCAAAATAAAGCGTTTTTTTTCTCTCTCTCAGACCATAGCTCGGCAGGAAATTTTCGCGCGCAAACCTTGTATTTGCAAAAACATCGCCTGTATCGCTCAAGACGATGCAGTCAGATTTTTAGCATTTGACGATTGCATGCCTTGCGTGTCCCAGTAGGTGGATAGGTTTCCAGACTGACAAAACAAAACATTTCGTCTAGAGCATGTGCAAAAGGTGAAGTTTTCCATTTTATACACAAAAACACTTAATGCGGCTCAAATTACCATTTTAAACATGCTAATTACCTGTTGAATTGGCTTGTGAATGTGGGGCCATGTTTTGTTGACTACCGTTGCTCATTGGGGACGTGCATTTAGCCCGTGATATGAACTCTCTTGAAATTTAACCGGCGCTCACGCAAGAAACTGTGAGCAATGGAAATAAAACTAGGTGAGGATGACATAAGGCAGAGGAATAAGAACGCCCTGGCACCTTGAAATTGTTAGCCTTGTGATACATTTCAGGAGGGGTTAGTATTCGCATCTGCATCTGTCTCCGAGGTAATAAGCATTCTTCCACATGCTTTGCGTACCGTTCTTCATGCTGGCCGCTATTTGTTGTCCTCTGCGCCCTAAAAGACCAGTGGAAATTCAAATCAGTCGCCAAGTTGACCGTTTGTTAACTGACTCGTGTGATAGGTTTGCAACTACTCATAACTGATACCTGCGGCTGAGCAAGATTTGAATTGGTTTGACTGGCGTTCATCGATCGACCTACGGGGCTTGTTAATCTTCTGCCCCCTGGAACACGAGTTAACATGCAAGACAATAAATGCATGCTGGCAGATCACAGTTTTTTGTACAGAAATTTGCACTCCAGACTCGACTATCCTTACTGGAACTAGTTTCTGCAAGCTAGATTCCGTTTTTGAATGGATTGCATGGGCTGCTCGCGTCCGAATCACTCTCATCTGCGCGTTCAGGAGGCATGACCACTTTTTATGTTTCTGACATTTGCAAAATTAATTGCAAACTTCAGGTAACCTGATATTGATCAAGACTTTGTAAGACTACACAAAGAGCGTCGGTTTAAAAATAAATTCAGTGATATCTGATTTATTTCGTGGTAATCCTTCCTTGAGCGTATATAATGATAATCAGTCTCAAACTGTCTCCAACGAACGTGCAATTTCCGAGCATAAAGCTCTTTGGCACTGCCGAACAAGGATCCAGGATAGCAGTAAAGTAGGGGATGACCATTTCAGATCGAGGAAGGGTTTACCAGAAAAGAAAGTTGAAACGCTGTGGGCAGCAAATCGAGGAAGGCATGTCTAAGGCAAAAACATTCGGAAGGGAAATGTTAACAGGGAACCTGTGTTACCACGGCAGATTTAGGTTCACCACATGCTCCAGCTGTTTACAAAGGTTTGGGAATACACCGCCGTATGCAGGCTGCCTCCAGGTAGCGTAAGGTATGAGTCGTTCGTACCCGAACAAGTACTCGGATAGACGTTTTGGGGTCCAAAGAATGGCCCATATCTAGCAGATGTTCAGTAATCGATGAACGTGGAATTCTGTT